CTGGCACAAATATCAGCCCATACGATAATTTCTTGTCTCGGCGGTGATGGCCGAGGTGAAGGCCCAGCTGTAGTGCTCACGGTTCGCCACTGTTAAGGCAATAAAAATAATTGATAGCACAGCTAAGCTAACTAGCTAAAAGCAGCTACATTTGGAAGCAGTGACTTTACTGTCCATCAGGAAACTCTGTAAATTACAGAGAGTTGAGGCGGAGCAGCCGAAGGACATCAGAGGGAAAACCAGAAGACATTGTCTCCTTGAATATGATCCAGTTTCACCAAAATCAGTTGCATAGCTGTCGGCGTGTGGCTTAAAGCATCACTTGCTCCACCCCGTAGCCAAAAGTGACAAAAACAGCTGTACTAGGCGCAGAGTGGGAATGACAGGGGAACCATTCACCCTGAGGCATAATATTGCTATAAGGATTATTAGATGTAGCATTACTCAGACATTGGGCTCTGTCATTAATCACAATAGTCTGAGAAAAAAATGACATGGATCCTAATCCTTCTCGGTCAACAAGGCACATCCGTACATATTACAACAGTAATGTGGTCATCTGTTATCACCTTATTCATTGTGTTAGAGGGTTGGCTGGTTTAAAGTTGCCCCTACAGGCAAGCTGATGGATGGATGGACTGTAAAACTAAGCAGGCAGGAGTAAGAGGGGAGGACATCTCTGCATATACAAACATCTGTCAAACTGTAGCACCACACTTGCAGACTCCCACAAGCATACCTTTGAGTTGCTTTAAGAGTTAATAATGAACTGTAAGCTAAGAGCAAAGAGGTCATCTGGCCTTTGAAGCTGCAGAGACACGTAGGCGGTAAATGTCATGCAACCGGAAGACACGGGATGTATAGACCAGTGTGTGCGGGGACATCTGAGGTTGAACAGCATGAGAGGATCACTGGGCAGGAAGGTGTGGGCACAAATTAAGGTCAAGGATGACACACAACATTACCACTATGGCATAGGAAATAAAATGGAACCAATATTTTACAGTCAGAGAGAACACGCCCTGGACACACAGTGGATACAGCGTGCCCAGAGACAGAGACAACGTCCAGTGTGGCCTGTGGACAGTATAATAAACTGATATCTTTATCCTCAAAAATAAATCCTTTATAAGTGCTGCATACTTGACCAATAAAAGGCTGATAGTGGTGACTCATACAGTCCGCGCTCAGACTAAGGCTGCAGATGGTCAAACTGAAGATGATGACGAAGATCATCCACTTATGGCAAACCCCTGGGGCGCAGCTCAGTCTTTAGAAATGTTTTTTGCAAATGAAAAACAAGACATCTGAAGACAGCACATCAGGCTTTAGAAACACATTTCCCACTACTAAAATAGTAATTTGTTGTTGTTTTTTTTTGCCAGCGGATTAGTTTGAAATACCATAAAACGTCTAATAAAAGCAGAGTCCTAAATATATGCAGGCCTGCTTTACTACCCTTGTGTGGCTACACGTTTTGATAAATAAAGGCAGCTCTCCATTAGAGGCCTGGTCTGGATTTTATAGAAAGTCTTTGGATGTATAAAACATCTTATATCCCACTGGACCGAATTTTTGCTCTCAATACTGATAAAAATAATCATGAAGATCTATTTTCAATGACAGTAATAACTGACTTTCATTAGGTTAGCACACCCACAGCCTAAAGCCTGATTTATAATTCTGAATCGAATCAGCACTAGGGATGGACCGATATACGATATTATTGTGTATCGCGGTAAAAACATAACACAAACATTTATCATGGTGAATTTCCATTATAATCGGGTAAATCGTGAATATCCTCACATTAAAAAGGTGTGTAGCTCTCCAGCATACATGCAAAGGGGACAAGGGGGAGACCACATCAGTGCAATTTCAAGGGAAATTTTGTTTATTTGACAGAAAATCTTTATCTTCTCACCTATTAAAGCCAATTAAAAGGAGAGGTAGAAAAGGAAGGTGTTGCAGGTACATTAACATTTCTGTGCATGTATTTATCAACCACAAAAACAAATGTACCTTCAAATATGTATGCATGTTTATATGAGGAAAGTTCGCTGCCAGTGGTGTGAACAGCTCTTGACTGACATGTCGGCAGAAATGTAATGGGTGTGTTTTTCTCTTGCGCTTTGCATCCAGGAAACCTGCTCTAAAGTGTCACACCAGCTTATCCTAGCAGCTGTAGTGTTTTAAAAAAAAATACACGCCTAGGTGTAGGCGATTGGTTTGAGGAACCCACCAACTGTCTGATTAGTGGACGAGCCACTCTACCTCCTGAGCCACTTTGGATCAGGATAAAGAATAAAGGTAGTGTTGCGTTTCTTGTAGCTTGTGGAAATCCCATATGTATTGTGTTTATGCCTGCTTTTCAGAGGCAGTGATCCTTGTTCAGCAGAACACATAACCAAACTCTATTAACATTCTCTTTTCTGCTTTAACGCGTATACAGCAGGACACATGAGGGGGTTGTGCTCACCTGTGTGGATTTATCTTTCATACAAGATGGGTAGCGCACATGGGGGTCACGAGGCCACTGCCCGGTGAGGTAGGGCCCAGTGATAGTGCCCAAGGATGAAGTCCGCCAAATAGCCCCCGAGCCCCGCACCTGCTGGGGTTTTGTCCTTTCAACTGCACAGATAGAAAAAAAAAAGCAACATTATCTCAGAGTAACAGGAACACTGGTAGCGACAGAATTATCACCTAGATCTTTGAAGCTTTTTGCTTGGTTTTCACTCTCTCTATTTAAGCATTAGCTAGGCATGACATATTATTTTAAGCATAAGTCGATACATGATCAGAGATGAAAACGCCAATGACTTAAAAGTAACATTAGCATTTGTTGACTGTTGCACTCATATGGAATTCTGCTACCCCGATTGCTGTTGCTGGAAGATCTTTTCGGCTATGAGTAGCTAGCTAATTAAGCTAATGTTAGCTCCACATGCAAGTGAAGTGAGTGACTATGAGTTATGACACAGATTCAATAGACTCCAACAATTGCTTCGACCCTCCATCAAAATAAATATGTACATTTCTAGGCTTTGTATTGGTAATCTGGTGATAATAACCTGGCAATACATAGTTTACATTTCAATATATTACGATACTGTAATCAAAGTGTTATATTGCAATTGTATTTATCACTGTAGCATCCAACATCATAGCCTTCAGCTCATGTTTACAACACTACTAATGGTTGGGGGATTACACACAAAAATCAATACAGTAGTTTTTAGATACTATACAATATTACAAAATAAAATATTGCAATATAGTACACCCATATACAGTTCCAGTCACAGACAGCATCATCCTCAGAGACAAGTTACATCAACCATATTGTCACACTCTGAAGGGTAAAAGAATAATGACCACATCTACCATTCTTATGCATGCTCAAACATGATGCCTCATCGGGCCAGTGTTCCTGTTGTAATCTGGTGATATGACTTCTGGTCCAACAATAGAGAATCCTCTTAAACGAGGTAGAGGTGCGGGTCACTTGCTATAAATCCACAGGATTACAGGTACACTTGAGAGACTAAATTAGACTTGGCCGTGATCTTCTAATTATGTAAAGCAGCTGGACACGGAACCACAGAATTCAGTTCCTGCAGTCCTTCCTGTGTTACTGTATCTCCCCTTTAGAAGGACCAGTACTTTAGTAAATCTACTAAAACTATCTAGCACAGAGCACCTGGGCCTCCATAGACATGATACTGTCTTAAACAATTATGCAAATTAACTGTCATGAAGAACAAGCTGTATCTGAGGCTACACATTTTTTTTCTTCTCATTTACATGTATATATGGATATGTATATACAGAGGAAGCAATTATTATCCTGACAGTAAAAAAAAAGAAATTGGCACAGATTATCTGTCTCATGTACTAGTGTCAGGATATAGTGAGAATTTCAGCAATAATAACAATAAACTTTTTCTTTTTATAAAAGTTACCTACTGTAGCTTTAATGTGTTGACAACCTGTCTGAGCATCTGACCATATGTGTTTCTTGCCCCGTCAAACTTCTTTTTAGCAAATCACCATGTTCCCAGGTCTTAGCAATTCACTTGGTATGAATTCGTATTAGCAATAATGGCTTAACCTAATAAAACCCGATGCAATAAACCAGATCTAACCCTTGATTTAAATGGTCAAACACTATCAGAAGGCTGAAATGAACTATATGGACAGCCAGCTACTGTAGTTCATGACGTACCAATTAAACTAACCACAGCTATACTGCTAGACTTGGCTACACAGCATGTCAGCATTGTGTTGGTTGAATAAGGTCTACAATACATACCAAATATGGACATCTAATTAGTAATACTATTGCAAATTAAATTGTTTTGAATATTTCATGAAGAA